TTAAATATCCAATGTATTAGAGCCTCTATTTTCTATCAGATATTTGTAGAGTAAGGACACTGTTCTGTGTTTTTTACCCTTACTCGATCAGCATTTTGACAGTCCCATTTTCATTTTGGTCTATTTTGTGTTTAGTAATCTATTTTCATAATTTTGTCTTGTCTGCTATGGATTTGAGTTCATCCATCTTTAAGTCAGAGCTTTGTAGAGCAAAATCTTGATCTTTATTTCTTGCAAAATAGCTTCAGATCAGTCAAATTAGACACAATATTTATGTTAATGTCAACACTCTTTCCACAGATACTGACTTTGGGGTGGATTCACTCAGTCCTGTTAAATTCAAACTCCACTTCGTTTGATCAGAGTCAGCTTTGTTCGGGGATTTGTGAATGTGAAATCAAACTGATGCGGACCAAAGAACCAAACTCTAAAAATCTAGGCCTGGCTTCGGTTGGAGTAAACATTGATGTGATCCAAATACCGAGCAGACCAGAGATTGCTCCAAAAGCAGGAAGCGGACGACAGCACATGGCATTCTGAGTAAATACAACCAAAACAAACATGCTAGCCAGGCGCTAGGAGGAGGAATGGCTCATGGTCAAACGAGAAATCCTCCAACCGCTAAAATCTGTCGACTCTCCATTCTGGTTTACTTTTGTGAACAAGGAAGTTGCGCTCTGTGTCTTCTCTGGTAGTTTTCATGTTTCTTTCAGAGGTTCTTGTCTTGCTGCAGCGTCCCGCAGGCGAGGAGGTTTTCAGTTCGTTTGATTCGTTTGTCGCAGGGCAGATTCAGCACAGTGCGAATCACACCAGCTGGAAATGTAACATGTTGGTAGTTCTGGTTCTCAATGGAACTGAACTAGTTACTCTGAACGTCTCAGTAGCTTCTCTGTCTTAGCAGGTTTACTGGTGGGCCATTTTCAGATAATTGATTTGTGAGATGTTCTCATTGTTTTGTAGCTAAACTCTGCTTTAAACTTCTACACGACTTTCATGGAACCATTTTTTTATTTTATTTTATTTTTTTATTTACTTTTTTCTCATCACAGAATGATGGTCTATCACATAAAATGTAATTGAAACCCGTTGGATGTGGTGGTCATAACATGTTAAAACCAGGAAAACTTGTGCATTAAGCCTTTTTTGTGTATTTTTAGCCCTTTACATTCTTTCTTCCTTTCCTTAAATTTTTTCAGGCTGCAGCTTCAAAAATTCAAAATTCACAACAATGTCTCCTTTGTGTGTGTCATTTTGAGGGAGTCCTTTCTGAAACCCGCTGTTGATAAAATTGGCTGTTTGGATTCGACAAACAGATTTTTTTTCTCCCCAGCTCTGATAGACACTTGTCAAGATGCAGAAATTCCCAGCTTATCTCGCTGTCCCTGCATGCTGTTTTTGCTTGTCTGCATTTTGAAGAGTTGTAATGTTCTCAGCTGGAAAAAACAAAATAACACAAAGAGCCTTTGCCTTACCTTCTGCTTGTGATAAGTGTTGAGCGGTAGGCAGACACAGCCTGCGGGTTCACCTTTTTACTTTATGCAAATACAGTCTTTTTTCTCTGCGCCTCCTTTCTCCAGCCGTTAATATGATACATAAATGTTTTAATACGAGGGAGGCAAAGGGAGTCGGATCAAAGCAGCACCCATGAGGACGATGGGAGGCTGCGCCATCATCGGCTCCTGTACCACATCGCCAGCGACTCTACGCTGCCTGTTTGGGGTGGGGGGGCGGGCATCTGTTGCCTTCACACCAATCTGCCCAGGAGTTGTTTACCTTTAAAAATTGTGTTGGGGAGTGAACCGAGGGAAGAAGACGGAAGAGAGCTTGTGAGCAGCAGTTTTAATTGTTGCTGCCATTTCAAAGACTTTGGCTGCATCCGGCAGAGAACAAAAACAGCTTCAGGTTTTAGCGGCGTCACAACATTTCTCCTCCCTCCTCTTTTTTTGTTTTTACCTTTTCTCTGTCTTCTTTCTCGTTTTCATCATCTCCAGATGCAGTTTGACACACACAACCATTGAAATGGGATCAGGAAGAATCAATTATCTTGGACGTGGAACCATTTGAGCAGAGCTAAGCCGTTTTTGTATTTCCGTGGTGACGCCGAGCTCTAAGTTGGCATCAAGATGCCAAAATCAATGGTGGTTTTGGACCTGCTGATCTGAACTTGCTTCAGGAAGCAGATCGTTGCTCAGCCACTGCCAGGAGACTCTTCCATTTCCCTCTTCCTTTTTGTTGTTTTAATGTCTACAGCTGCGCTCCATCTCATTGATGATCCTGAGGAATAGCTTCACTGATATCGATTATTATCTCAAGCCACATTGGTTCCCCTTCAGCTCTTGTTGCCTTAATCAGAATGAAACTGGCTAATTGTCTGTGTTATCACTTGATAATTTCCCCCTTCGCCGCGGCTCCACCGAATATCTCAGAGCTGGTAAATGAATCATGAGCCTGTGAAGTCGGCCCCCTCCGATGCCATCTAATGCTATAATGGTCACAATAATGATGGAGCCATGGGTGGTGCCATTACAGCGGCCAGTTACCATGACAGCGCCGTCATTCGTCGCCCCAAATCCCAAACCAAAGTTAGAGTTGAGAGAGAACAGGGTTTTAAGGTTTTAGCTGTAAATGTTCACCAGCTCTGGTGATTAGTAGTAAATGCATGCCTGCTTTTTTCTTCAGAATATGAACGCTGGTCTGTACATTACAGATGTGTCGATTACGTAACAGACATATTAATGCAACAAGATGCAAAATTATCCTCATAGAAAGGTTACTTTCTATGAGGGGCGTGTGTTGTGCCCCATTCATAATTCAAAGTGTTTCACAAGACAGGAACATCAAGTGAACCACTTGGAGGAAAAATACTTTGTAGTTTGACAAACAAACAGACAGTCACATGACCAGATGCTGATTTCACTTCCAACCAAGCAGCTTTTACTGTGTAGGTGTTTTTCTGCAGTTTATAGTTCTAATTCCCTTTATTAAAGTAAAATAGGACAAAAAAAAAAAAACTACTCACCAAAGATTCTTTTTGAAAAACACATGCTGCCCAGCTCCAGAATCAAATTTAAGTTGAAAAGATTCGACATAAAGATTTGTTTTACGGAGACATCCAAATATTCTGTAGCTTAAATCCAAAACTGTTATTCTGATAGTACACACATGTAACTCAGTGGAGGAAACTGGTGTCATCGTGACAGCTGAGGGGATCATTCATGTCTTTAGCAGCAATGGATTGAGAGGTAACAGATGGACAGTTCCAACAGCCGCCACTAGTCTGCAGGAGCTGAGCATAACTAGGTGGTGCTTTTTGTAGCTAAACATTTACCATATTTTCCAGAGTACAGAGCGCACCATGCTATGAGCTGGAGCTACAAATTTTTTGAATTAAACTGGAAACCAACATACATAAGCCACAAAGGGCTGTAAGCCACTGATATCTCCAAAAGTAGCAGCTTATAGTCCGAAAAATATGGTAGGTGTCCTGAATGGTTGCCACAGGAGATTCAAAGATTTTTCAAACATGAAAGAATCAAAGAAACACTGCAGCTGTATTTTTGATGCTGCATGATTTAAAGCTCATAAAGTTGGTTTGATATGATATTCTCCATAATGACATCACAACCTCTAGAAGAAGCTCAAGGTAAAGAAGAGTATTAATAAAAGACATAATTAAGTCCTGTATTCATAAATCAGATTATTTTAGTTATATATAAGCAAGTGTACAGATGCACCACATTAACAGGTTATGTTTCTTAACAGATTGATGTTAAAACAGCAGCCACAACAAAGAGTGTTTTCACTGGAATGCCTTCAGGTATGGGGGTCACTTGTCCAGTGAAGGGTTAACTTTGATCCTGATCCCATTCCTTTGTGCATTTCTGCCTGTTTACTGATTGGTTGTCTGCAGCCTGGCAGTGATGTTCTGGTCCTGGCTCACTGTTGGCCCGGTCCGTTTATGGAGGACCAGTCCAAACATGATCCAGGATTCTCATGTTTCACTTTGAGCCTTGTAGACAGCATCCTCAGCTAACTGACCCGGTATCAGACCAACCACATTTAGACAACGTCTGGTCATTAACACATGCCTGGTCTTAATTATAGACTCTTCCACCTGAAAAGCTTATTTTTAATCTTTAGATCAGATCCGCCTCAGTGCACATGGCACCGTGTCACAAACACAGAAAGCTTTAAAGGACAACAAGTGGATCACATCAAAGCATTGTTTTTGGTTTTAAATTTTTTATTTGAACTTCCTGCTCTCTCCTGGTGAAGTTGTGTTATATGAGCATAGCCCACACCCATCATGGCACCAAATCCAGCGTTGGTTTAATGAAGCTGGAGTTTGTGTGAGAGTGGCAGGGGCTGATGCAGGCATCTCTCTCTGATGTTCACATTTCATATCTGCTTCTACCTGTGAGCTTGGCTTTCTCTTCAATTATTAATCAGCTTGGGGTTTCTTCTTCATGCCTATTTCTTTTTTCTCTCTCTCTTCCACGTTTTTCTCTGTCCCGTTTGCCAAAACTCTCTCTCCCTCCCCTCCTTTGCGCCACTGTTTCGGTTTGGCTAGCTTTGGCTGAAGCGTCGGCTCTCACTGCGACACAAATGGCTGCCTTTGAAGGAGCTCAGCAGGGAGCGTCAATTAATTCAGCCGTTTATGTGCTCTAAAAAAAATTTTCACTCTGCGACTATTGTTAGCGGCCTATTTCATGCGCATTGTGCTGAAGGCCATGTTTATATCCGCTGAGTTTAGTGGACTCTTCAGAAGATTCAGGAAGTGTTAGAGGAGCAGAAGTGAGGCTTAGAAAGAGGTGTCATTGAACTATGTCTGTACTGCATAATCCTTTAGTCCTGTGGTCCTCCCTCTCCCCTTATTAACACGCAGTAACTCCAAAGAGCTGAACTTTAACCTATTACTCACCTTTCTCCAACCCCCTCTCTTTGCCTTTTACATTCTCTGCCCTCTAACTCTGATCTTTCTCGGCTCGCCGGGCCTTCAGATCTCAACGCTCTGAGCCCCTGTTTGACGAAGACGTGCACACACGGCGCCATGTGTGTGGTGAAGAACAACGAGCCAGTCTGTGAGTGCACCGAGGCCTGCACCCTGACCTCCGACCCTGTCTGCGGGTCTGATGGCCAGAGCTACCGAAGCCCCTGCGAGATGCGAGCGATGGGTTGCACTCTGCAGAGGGACATCCGGATCCAGCACAAAGGACCGTGTGGTGAGTCAAAACACTGCAGAGCACACATAAAGGTCAAAGGTCACACCTAAGCTGATGTTATTTTAGTTTCAACCCAAACTTCACCCCAGCATTAAATTGTTGATGTTTTTATTAACAAAGTGTTTCAGTGCATTAAATACAGTGTGTGGGTGGAGCTTACTCACAACATAGGCGTGTGTGTGTGCGTGTGTGTGTGTGTGTGTGTGTGCGTGTGTGTGTGCGTGTGCGTGCGTGTGTGTGTGCGTGTGCGTGCGTGTGTGTGCGTGCGTGCGTGTGTGTGTGTGTGTGTGTGTGTGTGTGTGTGTGTGTGTGTACATGACGGTGCTTTAAAATGGGTTTCTTCCCTGTCGTTAACATTATTGTCATGGCAACTCAGCACCACAGCCTGTTAAATGACAGACGGGGAGTGAGCGTGACATTTTCTGTAATAAACAATTTTCACAACAAGTGTACATGCAGTCAGTGGAAGAGCTCAGCAAAAGGACAACCCTGGTATTGGTTTGACTGATAATGTAGACAAATACAGGCTAAATTAACATGTTGAATTTAGTTTAGTTCACTGACTCATTTCAAATCCGACACATGAAAAATGATTTTGCAGAAGGAATCATTTTCACATACGGTTATACAGATTTGTTTTAGGAATATTGAGCGATGTTTTAACATAAATAAACCAGATTAGCTTCATTTTATCATTGGGTAACAAGCAAATAGATTAATCTGTTTACTGCCATAAAAAAATTTCTCAACATTTTTTCTTGTTGATAAATTCTCTAAGAATGTTCCATTCTTAGAGGTTGCTTGATTCTGCTAATTAAGCCGGAACAGTCTGACTCATCGGTGATGCCGTGGTCTGGTTGCACTCCTAAAAGCAATGCGATCTTTGATACAGTGGTATCAAGATGCATTCATGTCATGTTCGGTTCTCATTTCTTGACCCACATGCAGAACACCACAGGAGAACCAGAATCAGTTTTATGAAGTTTATTGATACAGTCGCCAGAATTCTCTTTTTTGGTCCAATCAGACTCTGATTACACACTCACTCCTCCACCAATCAAACCAGACCTCTCAGGCAAAAGAACAGATGAATTCACCCTGCAGGTTTGACAACAGAGGTGCAAATTACTCCGTATCCAAAGTGTTTGTGTTCATAACCATATTAAAGGTTAGACTTTTCTAACCATTAAGAGAAGGTTCCATCATATATCAAACCATATGAATTCATTTTTTTCCAGTGGATGTGGCCAGTTCTGTGTTCATGTTGTGATCCATTCATTGGTTCTAAAGTGAAAACTCAGAACCAACTGAACCAGGTTTCAGCTTCACATTGAAAAACCACTGAGACTTGATCATTGTAATCAGTTACCAAACTAATTACTGTTGGCTGCAAAAATGACTGTGTTTATAGCTAACTAATTGTTACTAATTACTATTTATAATACATGCTGACTACTATGAATGATAACTTTATGTTGAACTAACAGAAGCTAAAAACTCTTGTCACAGATTTAATAACAAAAGTGCAAATAAATTAATATCTTCTAAGCTCATGGCAGCCATATTGGATTTTTAGGTCTGGGTCAGTCACCTACAGATTTCCATTTTGAAGTCCTTTTTTTATTTAAAGGTTCTTGATTTAACTGGACCGGTCAAACCACGGTTAGATTGACGTTGAATGACATCATTGGCCATATTTAATAATAGTTTAGTTTCCTCAGTTCTCTTTGATTCAACAAAGATGACACAGTGTTCCCACTTGTACACCAAAATATATTTTTTATTCATTTATGTCTGACCTTTGTTAAGAACATTCAGACAAATCTGGCTTACTGTAAGTAAAAAAAAAAGAGTTTAACCAACCAGTGCAGATTAATCAGACTCACTTTGGGGGAAATATGACTCATTTCTGAAAGAATATGTTGACCCTGTCTGAAAAAATTTAATTACTTTAACATAATTGCTTCGTGATTAAACAATGTTGTAAATTTATGAGTCTTGAAGAAAAATATGAGTTTCTGACCTGGTTAAGATAAGCACATTGTCGCTGGAAGGTCATATTACAACTAGATTAAAGGTAGAAAACTCAGGATTTCACACAATGGCACATTTGTTAGGGCGAAAATTACAATCAGCAGACATTAACAATAAACAATAACAATAAAAATCTATAGTTCTGATCTCGGAAGATCCCCTGGCACCAATTTCACAACCAACAAAGTCAAAACAAGCCTTTAAAACACAGAGGAAAACCCTGATCACTGGTCCGTCTCCTTCTCATCTATTCCACGGCGCTCTGCTCCGTATACCATTACCCACACTCCAATTTGCCTGTTTCGACCTTTAAGTGAGGATGCACTTTGCTGCCAACGAAGTGTGGAGTCTTCTTGTCTGTAATTGGCTACATGAGTCACTTGGCTTTGTCTTGTGGTATTGGAGTATCAGCTAGTCATTAGTACAGCAGCAACTGCGGAGCTTCAAGTGTTAAAAATATCTTCTTATCCACTATGCAGGCGCAAAGCCATATGGGCAGATTTTTACAGCTTGCTAAGCCCACTTAGTGAATACTCGTGATGACTTAATGCCATATTGAGAGGCCTGTTTTCCCATGGACTCAGATGATGTAGTACTTTCTTCTGTATACAGTCAAGCCATTTGCTTTTCACACACACATAGAGCAAAAATAACAAGCAGTCATTATCTCTGTTACCCAACTCTCCCATCCACCTCCTCGGTTCACTTTTATGGCATTATGTTTATTTTCTGCCTGTTCTTTTTTTCAACCATAATACCTACAATTAGCAGCTCTCTGCTGTGCTGAAAAGTCACTGTAGCAGAAGAATCGATTCTGGATGAGTTCGTATCACTTTGCCTCTTTGTCTTAAGTCATTCAAATAGTTCCTAGTCCCGAGCTTCACTGTGCCAACAACTCTCAGTAGCAGTTAGAGCTGTGAGCACCTGGCAGATGGTGCAGTTGGCTGTGGCGGAGGCCCTCTGCGGATTGGATCTTCCCATCCCAGCTCCTCCTTTATATTGAAAAGCAGAACATATGCCAGTGAGAAATGGAGCGGCAGCATTGTTTGGGCAGCGTGGAAACCGATTGAGTCCATTTGGCTCAGCACAACGCAGGTAGATGGTTGGTTATTGGTCTGCTCTGCGACAATGGAGGGCCTGTATTTAAAAAGGAAAACAGAAAGCAACGTTCTGGCATGCAGGAGGGTCCCACTTCTAACCCAGCTCCTGAGGGAGCATGGGGGGCCATGAGGATGCTGAGGCACCAGATTTGATGATGATGATGATGATGATCAGGGATATTTCTGAGCTGTTTGCACATCTTTTTGCTGACAACCCACTGATGTAAACTTTTATCTCAGCCAATTATACCGGACTGTTCCAACCACTAATGCACTTTTCATGGAGCGGTGAGGCGTTACAGCAGGTGATGTTACAGATATAAGAAATGTTCTTTCTCTGCTCATGACTGGTCTTGTCACATTCTCATTTTTATTGAAGTTCCCAGATTAACTACAGAAAAATCAACCTTAGAGCAACCAGCCTGCATGTGTCCTGTCATGCCTTCAACTTGTCACACTCAGAAAATGACATTAGGATTACAGAGCGTGTGCAAAAACACAAGGTTTTAACCAACTGTAGGTGTGTGTCTGTTACTGGTGTGTTTTTGGTTATCATGTTTGTTCTTCATTCAGTGGAGTTACAGTGAGTACAGTGTCAGACATTTTACTGAAGAGTTCTTATGAAGAAAGAGTAAAAAACACTACTGCTGCTCCTAAAAGCACGTTCCAGATGAATTGTTACTGAAGTCAATGAAACCAGTTCATGTCCACCTCTGCATGGGAAAGTGGAAGAATTGAGACACATTTATAACCCAACCTGTTCTGGCAGCCATCTGAGGAAAATACAAAGACTCAAACATGTTAGATGTCCTTCTAATTTAAATACAACAGTGAAATATAATTGTCAGGTGAACTGACAGCTTCAGAACCTGCCAACTCACTGTGGTGATCCTAATGGCAGCTCATCCAACTCATTTTGTGGGATTCTCAACCCATGCACACATGAGCAATAGGCAGGGTGTGTTTTTATTTTCATTCAGTGAAAAATCCATATTTCATTACCCAGCTGCATTTTTATTGCGGCTCAAATGTGGGTAGATATGTTTATTTCTGATATTATCACCCAATTGAGTATAAAGTTTGAGCTGTCATACTTTATCCTCTGAGACGCTGAAGTCTGATCTCATGAGCAGAAATGAGCGTTCAACAACTGTGAAAGTAATCATGCCCTTGATGTGTGTGTGTGTGTGTGTGTGTGTGTGTGTGTGTGTGTGTAGGTGTGTGTGTGTGTGTGTAGGTGTGTGTGTGTGTGTGTGTGTGTGTGTGTGTGTGTGTGTGTGTGTGTGTGTGTGTGTGTGTGTGTGTGTGTGTGTGTGTGTGTGTGTGTGGGAGCTTCCCATAGGTTCTCATGGGGCACAGCTGTAATTTCCCTGCAGGCCGAAACACAGTGGTTATCTATATGGCTCAGGTTCCAGCTGATAGCAGAATGAATGACATTTGTTATTATTCTGACATTTTGCCTCCTGTGTTTGAGCAGTAGGAGTCCTTCAAGGTGGGTAAGCAGAGGTTCATTGAGGTAATAGACCCCCAACCAAACAACCAACCCACCCACTGTTTTTAGGCAACAGGGGTACCAGTTGCCTAAAAACAGTTGTTTATGTAATAGGTGAAAGCCAATCCATCTGAATCATTTGGGAAAAAGTAAAAAAAAAAAGAACTTCTGTTTGTCATTCCCAAAGGTGCTGAGAATGATATTCTCAGCTGAGTAGAAAATATAGGTCACACCAGGATGAGAGTGAAAGGAGGACAGAGAAGAGGGAAGGCTGGGAAACAGATAAATGTTGGGAGGAGAGGAGATGAAGGTGAATAAGATGAGGAGGAGCGAATCAAGTGGGGGGAGCAGAGCTAATAGTGTACAGCCAGGCGGCGGCAGGCGTCCACAGGGGGAGTTGTTATCGCCGAGCCGTGCTCACAAGCCTTCAAAACACAAACAAGCCGACTCCTTTCTGCCTAATCCTAAGGTAATACCTCGCCGCTTCCCTCAGCTCCAGTTCAGTTCGTCCCCACTAAGGATATCAACAAAATGCTGTAAAGCTGCAGGCTCTTTCTTTCTCCCTCCACTGTGAGCCAATCCCTCATGCTTTCAAGGGCGCATTTTATACCAACCTGCCCTTATGCCTCACTTCAGCTTCCACAGTTACCAATCACAACAAAGCTTCAAATAAAAGCAGCGGTGGATGCTGGACAGAAGGCTAACAGGAACCATCGATACTACATGATGAATGTTTCTAAAAAACTAAAACATCCTTCAGTCTATGTGTTATGAAGATTAATGCAATGGTCATCTTTCAAGGAATCCAATGATTATTTACAATGGTGAGGTGAGTGCCAGTGCTGGCTGGCTGGATCTGGCTAATAGAAGTGTGGCTAATATTTTATATCCAAATCTTCCAGCCAAGAGCTGGCAGGAGGTAGATTTGATTCCTCATACTTTACTATTTGCATGTAACTTAAATATGGTTTTAACTTAAAATGAAAACCCATCTAAAAAACTCTGTTGGTCCTTAAAGGTTTGAATGTTTTGTGTTGCTTGGAGTCAGAGGAGCTTGGCAAAAAGTGTGTAAGCTTTCTGTGCCCCAAACCCGGGGCATATAAAGAAAAATAATTCCATTAGATAACTGTGGAAAATGCAGCACTCATTTAAGATGGTCCTCATTTCCAAACAGTTTGGTTCTTTTTTTCATGGAAAGTGTTCTGGTTTCAAACTAAACACAGGAGTATTAGCTCAATGAATGTTAACAAAGTTAATATTTGGGATAAATATTTCATATTTTGTACTTGAGATGATCACATTTTATTTTAAGACATTGCTCTTTTAATTTTGAACAGAAAAGTCAAATTTAGCACCGTTTGTCTCTTTTTTTAATTTGGTGTTTCTGTTGGCCCCTGCTGAAATAGCATCCTCGGTAGGGAGCCATTATGCCACGTAGGGCTGTGTAATTTTATTGATTTTGTGATATTTATTGATATTTTTCCTCAAAAGTATTGTTTTTCCATCTGCGAGAAACGATACATTAAATCTTGCTCAAATCCCTTGCACACACAGTACATTAAAAATGACATGTAATGAAACAACCAGTTACAATGAATGAAATAATAAAATGAAATAGATAAATTGCATTATCTAATATAAGTCAATAAGACAAAAAAAGGTTCCTTTTCTGCATAACCGAATTCATAAAGCCACACATTTAAACAAACCAAATGTATGAAAAAACAACATTCATTGAGCCAGTATCACACCAAATGTTACCACAATCACTCTGTCCCTCGAAAGTCTTGAAAATGTGTTGAATTGTATTGTCTGCTGTGTATCATAATATATATGCTCTTGTGAACAGAGTATTGTGTATCTACAGCCATAATGCCACAAAGCAGCATGAGTAGAGATTAATGTGGAAACATGACCCCAGTGGTGATGATATCATCTGTGTGGCATAATGTTTTTTACATATTTTGTGTCACTCTGAGCTTATTCCAATTTGAAACGCAGTCGGCTTCAGAAAGAGGCAGAACATTTCTGCGTCTGGACCTAAAAAGTGATGAGAAAGACTTCAGGAAGAGAAAATCAGGGAACAAAAATGGACTTCTCAATACTGTCTGTAATGGCAACAATTCCCCCCATTCTCCTGGCTTTGAACTGCGGCTCACCTTTTTTTCTGTCAGATACATTTTGTCTGGAGGATCAGGCAGTGTGGAGAGCCCGGCATGAGACGCAGGAGCTTATAAAAAAGAAAGAAAAGAGCAAGCCTGCTTATCAGGACACAGAGCCTGATAAAGGACAACACTCACCAACACTTCCTGATTTATAGCTGAGGGATGGCCTGTTTTATTTATGTTTGAGACAAAAAAAACACCAACACAAATCCTTTTGTGTCTGATATTATTTAAACTAAATCCTTCAAATCCAATGGTTCTGTTGAGACATAAAGACATGAACTATAATCCCAAATATAAACATTTTTCTAATAATGTTTTATTCTCTCTTCCATGAATGTTTTTTGCACATTTTGTCAGATTACTGAACAATATTTTAAAGAAAGGTGAAACATTGTGGGTGTAGCTGATAATCCAGTAATCATCATAGGAAAACAAACAAAAAACTAAATAAAGATGTTTAGTTTAACACAACCACATATCAGTTATTCTGCAAAGTTTAGTGACAAGCTCATGACTTTAAGTTAATATCGATGGAAATGAATCTTATTCTTTGCCAATGTTTGCTCTGCTGCAGTGAAAGCAAGGACACAGCATATTTAAATATGTTTAAAATAAAACATATTTAAATTCTCACATGCTAGTTTTGCTTTTCTTTGAGGAAATAACTGCTGTTGATGTCTGACTTTTCCTACTGTTCGCGATATTTCAAGCTCTTCTTTTTTTAAAACTTTAAAGATTTTTTTGTTTTAATCAAGTGGACTTTGACAGAAAAGAAGGTATTTCACTTTATCAGCAACAGGACTGTCCTTGCTAACGCTAAGGCTAGGACTGCTAGAGTTTGAAAAGTGTTATTTTTCTCTTGGGCTCTGCCTTGCTTCCCGGTACCTGCTGCTTTGAAGCCTGAACAGAAAAAGCATTGCTGGCTGCAGGTTTACCCACAGGGCCGCAGTAGCCAGGTGATGAGCTGTAGTTGGCGCTCACTACACTCGGCTGTTGGCATTCAGGCCAAAGCATTCAATCCTCTTCTCATCAGCCCAGAGAATCTGTCTCCTTCATGCTTTCAGAGTGCTGTAAGTGTTACTTGGCTCTTGTGCGGCTGCTTCCACGGGAATGGCTTCAGATTCTGACCATCATCCCATAAATGCTGTCTGATGGAGTACCAAAGAGAGTTGTATTCTTCCACAAGACTCCTTTTTATTTTCCAACATTTATTTCGGTTCAGTTCTTTCATTTGGTTCCTGGAAAAGGATTCTGTGTTTTGATGTCTTTTGAGTAACACGGGCCATTTATCAGCCCTTCTTTTAATCCTTCTTTTTATTTTTGCAGGTTTTTTTCTGGTTTTATGTCAGGATTTTTCTTTTCACACCGAATTAACGTGAAAGGGACCGCTTTGTATTTGACAAATGTGCCTGTTTTATTATATCTCATCAATTCAGTAGACCTCAGGTGAATTCTAGTCCTGTATTAAATAGTGTTCCTTCACCAATTGGTGAAGGAACAGTGTTGCTGCACATAAACAAAACAAAAAGCTTATCAGAGACTGCTAAATAGAAAAAATCTTTTTATAAATTAGGTGAACTCTTTACAGCCTCCTCTGCAAGATTTTCCAGTCGCCTGATAGGAACAGTGAGAAAGTTTTTATTCTACCTGAGTAAAAACCATCCACAACTGTGTTCTGACAAAATAAATTTTAGTTTCCATCCATCGTTGCTTGTTTTTATGCATGGCTCTACTTCTGGCATGTCAAATAAGAACTAGTAGATGTTTTTTATAATCTGCTTTTGGGAGAAAATCATATTTCTGGTCAGTAGGTTTTATATGTCTTCAAAGTGGCCAGAATGTTACACTGGTCATTGTTACCAGAGTTTCCTTGGGTCACAGTGGGACATGACTGCTGACAGTCTTTTTATCAGTCAATTCCATCAAAGCAACAAGGCAACTCAAACATTACTCCCTTCATTATTTCACAGTTAAACAACAGTTCTGAGCTTCATATCCAGGCCTCATTGTTAGCACAGAGTCAGCTTACCAGAGCAGCAGAACACTGGATAATACTGAAAACACAGAGTTAGCTTCTGAACGTAAAATATAACATGATGATTTTCAATAAGTTTATTCACACGTGTTCTAAACATGGAAGAGGTTGATTTATTGTCTGGTGCAGATTCTGTGTAGTTTTCACTTCTGCAGGACGTTGTTGATTATCCTCATGTAAAGTCTCAGCTTATTTCAGTAATGACCAGAGAACTGAAAGCCATCAGGCTTTGACAGTCCTCAGTGACATTTTAATAATGTTATTGATTGAGAGTTTTTTTAAAATATGGACAGATGAACATTTCCAAGCTAATGAAAGAAAACGTAGTGTGACAAAAAAAAAGTATCCACTTGAAGAATTTTTCTAGGATCATTCAAATCTAAGTAAGGCTTTATAATTTGCATATTGATAACATAAGTTAGAAAGGAAGTTCTTTGCCCATTTCACTGTGGCTTCTCACACATAAACAACAAGCATACTAAGTTTTAGTCTCCTTCCTTTTTCATTTTCCCTCCAGATGAAGCCTGCTCCAACTGCTCCTTTGGGGCGATCTGCGACGCCCAGAGTGGGCGCTGCGTGTGCCCGTCGGAGTGCGTGGAGTCGCACCAGCCCGTGTGCGGCAGCGACGGTCACACCTACCACAGCGAATGTGAGCTGAACGTGCGGTCCTGCATGGAGCAGGTGGAGCTGCGGGTGGTCAGCCAGGGAGAGTGCAGTAAGTGGCAGCATGTTGCAATCATTACGGTTTGTCATGCTTCCTGTTCTGGAATCCTCAAAGAGCAACAGCCAGCTTTACTTCTGGCGAGTGAAACATTTTATCTTTGTGTTTCATGAAGTTTTACTTTTGCTGCTGGATTAAAAGCAGAAAATGAAATTCAGGCAGACAGGGAATAAAATCTCATTTCAATGTTAGTTTGAGATATACATTTTAATGTGTGCATGTGATACAGAAATGTGCGGCAACACCGTCTGCAGCTTTGGTGCCCAGTGTGTGGAGAGGAAGTGCGAGTGCCTGCAGTGCAGTGGGGAGGCCAGCGCCCCGGTGTGCGGCAGCGACGGCATCACCTACAGCAACGAGTGTGAGCTCAACAGGTCCGCCTGCGAGCACAAGAGGAAAATTGATGTGGCGAAGCACGGCAGCTGTGAGGAAGGTAGGAAATGGACTTTGAAATGTTGTAATTATGTTTACCAGTCAGCCATTGAAGTGGTGTAATTAACTTTACCGACTGACCTGTGGTACGCCGTTTAGTCATTTGTGGATTTTCAGAAAGCTGAAGTGCCGGAAAGCTTGTCAGCACTCTGACATCAACAAAAGTTGCAGTGAAAGTCACGCTGTGTTGCTGACTGTTGCAGGAACTGTTACTGTCATGGTACTTCAGTCATACGCTGTAATCATTGTTCATTCTTCCTACTTTTCCCCATAAGGAAACTGAAGTCGCATTCTGTTTGGTATTGTGAATATTTCATTCAAAGTTGAAAAAAAATGTCATGATAAAACATCTTTCTGTGAAACAACTCGACATCATAATGCCATGAGAGTCAAAGCAGGTAGAATTTACAAACAGGGACTGAATAGAAATGAACTGAGCAGTTATTGATTTTCTTATTATCAGTTAATTTTATTTATTTATTTCACTTTGACAATCTGCCACTATAACAAATAATCTCCTGGTTCTGTGATAGAGGTTGGTTTGAATCCTAAATCAAAAAGGAGACCCAGCTACTTCAAAGAAGGTTTTGTGGTTGGTGGGATTACAGAAATGAAAAAACATTACAACAAATGTTTTAATATTTTAAAATTACTCTATGATTAGAGAAAATCATAGAGTAATACTCCCTTTTCAATTCTGGTCATTTATTTATACATCAACAGACTTTCATATGGAACAGGTAATGTATTAACTAGATGCATTGCAGTATTCCTGTCTTAATAACTGATATGTGATTCACCTGAACTCTGACCTACGAACTAGTGGTCTTTAAAAAGCCTGACCTGCTGGTTCTGATTTTGACCAATTCGGATTTTTAAAAATCTGAATAGTAAAGCAGGAAAGTCCCTGAATTGGTAACACTTGTGTGATTGTTGTTACTGCAAAACATTTGTACATTTCCTGGTGGGTGGGGCTAACAGTCTGACCTCTGAATGTAGAGCAAAGTGGACAGCAGTGTGTTTTTAGACCTTTGATGAGGTGAGTAAGATTACATGTGAAGCTGATAAGGTCGGCTTCACATGTAAGCAATGGCCAATCACTGTTCTCCTAAAATTAAGGCAGCCAGTGCCATTAAATCAGTTTGATAAATCATCGAGTTGATGAATCAATGCACCCCCACTTTGAACTATTGCTATGTAACAAGCCTGCTAAGCTGTGTTGTTTGTTTTGTTCAGTCTCACAGTCATTTTAGTTGGAAGCAATAAAGTCTTCAAGTTGTTTTCTTTATTTCGTGTTTACAATTTCAAGACTTTTCAAAACACTGAACTACATCAGAATCAAACCTCAGAATCATACCAGCTTAGATCACTTAGTTTCTTTGTTGTTTTAGCATAAATTGAACGAATGTACTCGGGGTTTCCCCCAGAAAACTCGCGAAGCCCGGTGGTCGTGGCGCTGATGCGGTCCACCATCGGTCCACCGTGTTTTTGTATTAAAAGGTGTTATGTTGACGGGAAATGTAAAAATATTACTAGGCAATTATATGTTGCAGGAAAACACCAGTGAAACGCTATTTAAACCCACAACTAGTCTTAAGAACAACAAATAAAAAAAAACCCATGAAATGAATATTAATTATTTACACTTCTGTTTAATTCAAATTAGTCAACAGCTCCATAAGGCCTCCAGGGCTTATGTATCAATGTAACATTTATGTATTGAGATTATCAATGGTTTAAAGGAGCGGGCAAGTTTATTTTGTAAATCTTCAAAGACCAGTATTCATAGTTAGATTGTTTTGTTACCATAGCTACAATCTGATGCTATGAGTTTAATCTTTGAGTTTGAGCTCTGTTTGTTCACAAATACAAATTAGTAAACTGTAATTATAGTTTATTTCACTAAATCCAACACAGAAGCTCATGCTGATGTTTTAGCAGCAAGAGGGGCCCGTAAGTCAAATTTTGCTCCAGGCCTCATACATCCTTGGACCAGCCCTGCATGATGAGTTAAATCCTCTGCACTGTGCAGGTGTGCAACAAATTAATTATTTAATGCTGCTAATGTGGCTCTAGTGGCTCTTCCACTTTGTGTCTGTTGAGTTTTTAACAAGATTCACAGAAACTGTTCTGGATGCTGGAGTTCATGGGACGAGTTTCTCAGATCTCTGCGCGGCCGGCTTATAAATTCTGGCTGACTTAGTGGACAACGCTTTTGATATGGTTTGATGCATCGTGTAACCGGAAGGATAATACTACAAGTACTATTAAAATAATATAAAAGCAGTGTGATGCAAGCTACAAGCTATAAGCTATAAGCTCCTCACCAGGCTGAACCTGCATGATGAGGTTAGCGCTGGTTTGTTAACCACTAACTTTCGGGCCAACCAGGAACACATACATGAAGTTTACAGGGAAGACAGAGCCGGGCGCTGGGCAGCGTGTTGAGCTGGAAACGCTGCATATAATTCTTTGTTCACAAAGAGAAATCTCAACACACCTCTGAATTCACAACTACCAGTTATTTCTGCGGTTCATAGAGCTGCACAACCAGAGCTAACACGCAGTGAGGTTTAACTCTTACCTAGAGTTCTCCAAAGAAAAAAGAATTTCTCACAGGAAGTTGATGGAATATCCATACAGGTCAGCCTGTGTCCAGTTTGAGTGAAAGGAGGCGCGCGTGGAACCACTGAGGCAAAGTCAGGTAAAGCAGGTAAAGGCAGCACAAGGTAAAGCGTAGAGGCTTCCAATGCATAAACTCTGAACTTATATTTTATCATTTGTAAACCTATCCTTTAGGAATAAATCTCCTCTGCTAGTGAAATGCTCAGAGCAACAGAGATGCTCGCAATCCAGCTAAAAAATGAAACATTACTTTTAGTTATTATTTTCCTAAAAACATAAACAAGCAACGCTCTGCCTGGCGGGGGGCCAGGCTTATAATACTCTTGGGGAAAGCCTGGTACTGAGTCTAAAACAAAGAAGAAGTGATTTTTAAATTATGAACTGGCTCTCCACCCAGGGATCCATGCTGATGTATTTTCTATTGAATATTTAATCTTCAGGCAATAAGGAGTAGATGCCTCCATGTAAAGAAATATTCCTTGCTAGAGACTAATGTTACTAATTTGTTAACTGACCTTCAGACACATAATCTGAAGGTTTATGTGTTTTAATAACTGTTTCTTTTGTTTTTCACTAAAGATTCATGACATTTAAAAATCTGTAGTCCAAAATATAAACCAGTAAGACTGGACAGAGCTATAATTAATGTCTTTAAACATTAAATCCTTATTCATTTTGTGAAAACACTAAAGAGCATTTCCAGTCCTATGTGGACATTAGGACCATCTTATATTAATCACCACCATACAAATACTCATTAAAACAATGCTCGATTTGTGAAATGTCTAATCTATTTGTAAAGTATTGCATGCAGAAGAAACAACCAGTATGACAGGGCAAAAGTACATATTCAAAGTATTGATTAGAAAATGAAAATAAGGAAAAGGAACGACTGGAAGTCAAAGAACATGTTGGAGCTCATGGAGATTTTTCGCCTGGCATTGCTTCCAGATTTGTTCTTTTCTCTGACAGACGCGTTTCTGTCCAATCAGGCTCTGAAGTCAGTGACTGATGGCTGTCCAGACGAGAATCCTGACTTCCTATGGCTAGAGCGTTTGTCGTTGCTCCCCACGCTAAAGGAAAGTTGAAGCTAGTTTACGGCACATATCGTACCTTGATCTGCTCTGACATGTCTCAGACCCCCACCCCATCCCCCACCAAAGCGGCAGCAGCCTGGCGCTGGTTGTCATGCCGATAGCGCTGACGGTGTTCCCCTGTGGGCAGCTGGTCGCCACGGTGAACATAGTGGTCTCCTGACAAGGTGTGAAGCAGAGCAGGTCAGAGCGGCCAGCAGGAGGGAAAGACATGGACGTACAGACGGGAGAATCTACTTCCATTTTGATTGCCACCCAGGGGCGTTTTATTCTTCTCTTCGTTCTTTTGTGTTCTCTTTTTTCTCCCCCATTATGATTATCAGCCATATTGCCTCTTTGAGCCCAAGAGGGAAATTCTTGTCACCAGAGCTCCAGAAGTCCATTTAACATCATTTCAATTGACTGAGATGTGTGACCTTTTTGTGTGAGGGGGTGCATGAGAAATTGTGCAGCAGTATGCCCTGAGTGCTGACTTGCAGGCACACGCTCTTCTTCCATTGTTGGTTGTCTGCTGTTAGACAAAAATGCTCTCATCTGCCTCCCTGAGGGAGTCTGTGAACATCCTGCTTTTCCATTTTGATTCAGAGAAGCCATCAGGCTCACACAATAGATTTTTCTTTTGCAGTCCCCACCGCTTCCTGATGTCCCACCCACTCATTTCTCTCTTGGTTTTTCACTGTTCTCCATCAAAATTGTGCCTCACTGACAAAAGAGGCAACCAATACCTTTTTTTCACATGGGGTAGAGATGGACTAGAAATCAATGAATCTCGCTGTGGGGGTAAATACTGGTGTTTTTGTCGCGGGTCTGATAGTTTTAGCCCTGTGCGGGCCCTTGAAGTGGAGGGTTGGGGTCACTGTAAAGCAGTCCAAACCAAGCTGTCGGCTTACTGCTCTTTCAATGCCTTCGCTGTGCTGCCCGTGTTAAAAATGATTTGTCTGTGATAAATTCACCCTGCGGAGATGAACGAGGGGTGAGTTTTGGCAAAACAAGAAGCATATATGTCTCCAAACAGGGACCCTGTGTCACAACATATTATATTGTATTTTCTTTCTCCTGTTGTTGACAGCAGCAAAGCTTCTACATCACCAGTAGGAAATCAAAGATAAGCCTAGCGAGGAAATGAACATGTGATTTATATCCGTGTGCAGAACCTGCCTTAAACCCAGCCTCATTAGTCATATTGGTAGGAGGCCGCAGCATAAAAACCAAAGTTGTTTTCTCTTGCTTTTATTTAGTAGTAAAGAAAAATGACAGTGTTGCCACTGTTGGCCATACAGAA